GGCGTGATCCCTTAATCAATAAGAGCAATCGATATGTCTTTTTCTTAGCGACAACAGACGGCGCATTAATCATGCTAGCTGAGAGGTGCTGCTATCTAGTCTAAGGGGCGCAATTTTCGAACATTGATCAAAGACAGAGTTAACGATTCGAATAGTAGTCCATTTTAAAGGAGTTAGTGGAAACTGACAGTAAGAGGAATATCAGAAAGAGAAAAAGAGAGAGAGAGAGACACACACACATAGAGGAATATATATGACCATTGATAATGAGAAGGTAGCCTAAGAGAGCACAGAGAATGGGTTAGAGAGAGTTAGAGAGAGAAAGTAAGGGATGGGGGTGAGTTTCAGAGCTACTAATTACGAGCACCCTCGTCACCTTCCTTCCCTTGGCATGATTGACCTCATCCCTTTTCCCATGTTCTCCCTTTGATTGATAAGTGCTCGCTTTTCTGCTCCTATGCCTCGCCAATGCACGATCACCCTTCACCGAGTTAGCTACCTCGACCACCACGACGTTCTGACAATATAAAGTCAAATAGGTTTCGAACATTGAAAGGGAAACTAAAGAGAGAGAGAGAGAGAGAGAGAGAGAGTAACTGGAGTTGATTATATTACGTATTTTCAAGATCAATAAGTTTCCCTACCAAACGTGAATAATTATTGTTCGATATTTTTAACTTTGTATTTATAAGAGAAATAAATTGACGATGTTAATAACATATCATTTCGTATAATAATAATTAATTTAACATAAATGAAAATTTGTTCTTTTATTTTTTCACTTTGTCAGTCACGTAGAATCATTTTATCCGTATATTTGATAGAATATAAAATGAAAAAAAGAAAAACAAAGAAGGGGAAAAAAGATATTCTTATTCCATTTTCGCGAAGTTCCAACTTCCGCTTTTGGAATTAACGTCTCGTGAAAAAGTACTTAACAGAGATATCGCTAAATTACGAGTTTTGCTTTGCCGAAAGCGAAGTTTTCGCTTTTCTCTCAGCCCTCCCTTTCAACCCTCGGATAAATTTCCTTCAAGGACGCCCTACGGAAGGGGGCCCAGAGACCCGTAGCCTTTACGCGTGTCGCGTAATTAAATGCAAGTCAGGGCCGGGGTGGCGGAGGGTGGTTTTTTTTTTTAAAACGTTCTCTCGAAAAAGAGAAGAAGAGATTTTGTTACGCCGTTTGGTTTGCGTCAACGATAAATATTCGTATTTTTATTTATTACATGTTTTTTTTTTTGTCCTCACACCGATTCCCGTTAAAAAAATCACATCGACGAAAAAAATATAATAATCCAGAGATGTGGGTTAAAAAAAGAAAAAAGAAGAAATTAATTAATTCACCCCCCCCCACCCCGATTAACGGAATTCAACTGGACTCGACTTGACTTGACTTGACTTGACCGGATAAAAATGAGGAAAGGAACGTTGATCTTGTCCGAAGAGAGAAAAAAAAAAGAAAAAGGAAAGATACGTAATAAGCGTAGATCGACAAAAAAAAGTCGACCTTGTCGTTAACCTAACCGACCTCATAACACCTGTTACGTGGCACGTAATGGCATCGAGAAAGGAAGCGTTACGGGTAAACGAGTTTGACTGACGTTACTTTCACTGATCCACACCAAGCGGGTGTTTGCTAGCATCCTCTTCCAAGGCTTCCCTTTCAGGATTCTTATTCTCACCTTCACGAAAACCGGTATTTCGAATTAATCCCATCCCGTGACAAGATAATTCAGGAAGTTAACTATATTCATTCTTTCGTACTTATTTAATCTTTTACAGGTATCATTATATCTTTTAATGTTGTTATTATACATTATGTGACATTAACATTAATCATTACTTCGTTCTTCAAGAATTTACCTACCTTTGCGCGATGTTTATTATTATATAATAATAATAATAATAATAATAATAATAATATTCGATCCGATATTCTCTTATCGATTTCGATTAATGTCATATTTTTCTTTCTTTTTTTTCATTATTTTTGTTTTGTTCTATTTGTTCTATTTTCACGTTTTTCTTTTTTTTTCTTTTTCTATTATATTTCGTTAAATATTTCGTTAAATGAAACACTCGTACTCTCGGAGGGAAAGTAAATTGTTAAAGTATTGTGAAGTAAAGTGGTGCACTAGAAGAAGAAAAAACTTGGTTGGTTGGTTGGTTGGTTGGTTGGTTGTTTGCTTGAAGAGTCGCACGAAGGTTATATAGTCTCTTCGAACATCTAAACGATTTTCTTCCGCGTTGTGTCGGCGCGATTATGGTGTCTCGAAGGTAATAGATGGAATAAAACAAGGAAACGAGCTCACGTCCTCGACAAGAAGAGACGGGTTCACGATCACGAACACGAGATATCCTTGTCTACTACAAACATGCAATGCTTTTGCGTATCTACATACACACACACATATATATATGTACAGATCTGCATATATTGACACATATACATAGCATAAAGCAGACTTCTCTTTCGAGTATGATGGAATACGTGCGCGCGCACACGACACATCAAGGATCGATCCTTTCAGACACGCGTTTTGCATTTGTCGACCTTCGTTTAAAATCCTGGATGAAAGTAAATTACAAATCTATCAATTTTATTCCGTCCATAACCATCGATCGAATAACAATAACAACAACAACAACAAATAAATCCAATTTGAAAATACTTATTTAGGATGAAAGGTCAATTATTGTTGTGGATACGTTTTTAAACACGTAATATATTTTTTCATAAGGATTTTTGTTCGAGGAAATTAATTTTATCTTTTAAATTTAGTATTAACATTCCAAACATATAATAAAAGTGTCATTAAACAATGCGAGTTATTAGTACTACAAACATATAATTTACAGGGTTTCTTTGTTTTAATCAAAATAGGATACCCTATACAAGTACATTTGTATGGTATTGAGTTTTTTTTTGTTCTATTTCTTTTTACAAAGTTATTGATGGGCAGCAGGGGGGTTTTGATAGGAAGGAAGATAAAGGTTCAAAGTTACTCAACGATTACGGTTATTTCATGTTATTTTTGTAGGAAATAATAACTATATATACAATATTGTTTGTTTGTTTTATTTAATAAGTTAAAGTGCACAAGGATAGAAACGGAGTGTGGTGCGAGTGCGTCAAAGAGACGGATCGGGGAGGGTGGTCGGTTTTCTTTCTCTCTCTCTCTCTCTCTCTCTCTCTCTCTCTCTCTCTCTCTCTCTCTCTGATCATTCCCTCTCTGATTATTCCCTCTCTGTGGCCTCTCTCGCTCTCTCAACGTATCATCTTTGGATTTCTTACATATTTACAAACGTATAATCGTTTCCATCCGCGCGTCGTCAATTTTGTTTTGTTTTTTTGTTTTTTTTTTGTTTTTTTTTTTGTTACATCTCAAAAGAAACACCGAAGAATTTTCAAGTGGACATTTGGCATAATCATTTCCTCGACGATTTACCTGAATTAGGTGGTACAAATCCATAGCCACTCGCACCGACTATCACACCGCTGCTATCGGCGCGATTCGGTTCCGGGCCAGGTGGGAAAAGTATCGGACCTGGAAAAGAAAAAAAAGAAAGAAGAAATCAAAATCGATGTAAAAACGTTGATGATCATCATCAATTTAGTAGTTAATTTGTCGATTAAACAATAATAATAATGATAATTTATTATAATGATAGATCGTATAGCTACCGTTGTTAAATAATTTATAATCGTTAAAACGCGAGACGATTTAATTATAATATTATCAGATTCATAAATTAGCATGTGAAATTAATTCATATTGAGTTTGATTCATTTAACTAGGAAGTTGAATAGATCCGTTTGAACACGTGTCAATGCTATTGTATGTCGAGAATTTCCCTACGAAATTGTATTAACGCGTATACGCGTAACAACGTGTTTTTACGGTCGTCGTTTATACCGGTTGTCAATGACCTTGATGACCGCGACAAGATATGTAGCACTGACTATGAGTGAATGCAACTATCGAACATTGTAAACGTGAACGGTAGTCGGTTTTACGATTTACGATTTTTATCGAACAAACCAAAAAAAAAAAAAACGAACGAATTGACGAAAGAATCCGAAATCTGGATAAAAAATATTATTTCAAATAAAATAAAATAAAATAATTTTTGTTTCGTCCCTTTCTCTCTTTTTTCTTGTAAATATACATTCACCATATATTTCGTTCATCGAGGGAAGAAAAATCCTCTTAGAAAAAGAAGATAAAAAAAAAAAAAAGTATCGGACGTACTCAAAGAAAGATACTCGTCCTTCACGGTCGTTGATCGCACCAATAAATCAAACTCAAACATCTTCGTTCGTTCGTCCGCTGATCCGTAACTTCTTTCATTCTTTTTCTACAACATTTTTTTCTTTTTTTTTTTTTTCTAAGTACGATTGATCGATCCTTTACCAATTTCGTGCTATTATATTTTTCTTTTTTTTTTGTTGTTGTATTCGACACGCGTTAGCCGGTAGATAAATTTGAAATGTATATTATTCAACTCTTTCGTATATTTTGCATTATGTCGTTTAGTTTTTCTTTTCTTTTTCTCTTCCAACGCGTTTCCTTAATAATATAAGTAATACTTATTCAATGAAAGTTAATATAACAATCCTTTCTAAAAAGTCTTGGTAACAGGAAATTATTGTAGGATACGTGTTATTAATCACGCACGTATTAATTGTACATAGAATTTATATTTTATAGATTAATATCGGAAGGTATGAATATTGTTCAGATAATCGAATTAATTCAACTTGAATAATTTTTTCTTCCTTTTTTTTTTTTCTTTTCAAGGAAATATAAAACGTTATTACAATTATTAAACTTTTCATGAATTATTGATGAAACAAGGAACAATTATTTTTCTTTCTACGATTCGCGTGTACTCAATTCTTTGAATAATTTAGTAATAAAATAAAATGGTATTAGAAATAAAAAATGTTCTCATAAATTGAAGCATTAAAACAATCAACACTTTTTTTGTTTGTTTTGTTTTAAATTTGTATTCCTATTTCTTTCGTTTCGATTCTTGTTCACTGAAGCATTCACTAACTTTACATCGAGTTGGATGGACTGGGTGAGTGTCAATAAACGTTAGTCATTTCTTACGTTACCAGATATTATCAACTATGTCTAGAAAAGTAAACGCGTTTGAACTTGGCACGCGAACTGACTCCAACTTGTATTTTATAGTTTCAATACCGATCTAAAGAAATCGTAATTCTCTATTTCTTATTATTCTATCTTTTATTTCTATCGTCAATTACGTGTAACATATTGAGTCAATAACGTTGCAATAAAAGGTAAAGTCAGATATTCGATTACAAAATACGAATAATAAAATAGGATTGATTTCGATACAGCGAAGTATCAATAGTTGCAAATGAACGTGAACGAATAACGCACAAAATTAAAAAAAAAAACATAGAATAAATAATTATTAGTTTTCTTTTTTTGGTGTAAAATAACTCTCGCTCAAATGTTGCCGTTCAAAACTTCTCAATTTTGTATTTAATCTATTAGTAATTTCGTAATATATTTATTCGTAACATATTTAAAGCGATTTCAACACGCGTTGTAAATGAACTTCGTATAATTAACAAAGTATTTCCTTGTAACGATGGAAAAATAATAGATATAGTATGATAAACTATAGATAAATTAATCTTTTATATATTTACAAAGAGAGAGAGAGAGAGAGAGAAAGACTTCACGATGAAAAATTAATTGCTTATCTCGATCGAATATTTTCTTCTATTGAGCAACATTAACGATAGATTCGCTGATATTACTTACATAATTTCGATCAGATTGACTTGTAAACTATTGCCTTTCAGATAGCAGAAGACGGCAAGATTGAATGATAATTTAATAGGATAATTACACAGATAAAGATATATATTTATCATATCCTGCCATATGATACATTGAATAATATATGCGTAATATATATATATATATATATATATTTCGTTAAAACTATATTTGTTAATAAATTAAAAATCGGTCAGATGTAGTTATTTATATCTATCCTTTCACCGATGGTCACTAACTCCTACAACACGTGCTTCAATCTTGAATTATTATCCTAACTTCGAGAGCGTTAAATCTGTTCCGGTAAAAGTTAGTTCCATGTACGAAATTGGAAGTAATTTACTTTCAAAGATTAAGATCTTTTATTAAAAATAATTGAAGAAAAAAAAAATTAATATTAAATTATATATATATATATAGGACATCGCGTAATCGTTAGAATCCATCGAATAAGATACGATCGTTATATCGATTCAATACCGTTAGATATAATCATTAACCTTCATAGAAATTCACGGTCGATTGAAAATGATTGAATCGAAATCACGAAGAAGGATAGATAATTGAAACCAACCTCTGTTAGATCTTGGATCCCTCAATCCTGCGCTCTGTTGAAAGTACGGACCGAAACCAGCGTAGAGTTGTCTGTAATTCTGTGCCGTTGTGGTGGCAACCATAATGGCGATTAGAATTGTTACTAGACCGATCTGAAAAAAAAAAAAAAACAAAATAAAAATTTATTAAAAGCAATATATATTTCCAATTATAAAAGCGTGCCTCTTTCGTGTAATTAAAACGCTTAATTAAAAATACTATTGAAAAAAATGTTGTGTTCATTAAATATACGTGTGAACGAGTTTAGATGGTATTGGTAAAAAGAGAACCAACAAACCAATGAACAAAAACAAAATCAACGATCTCAATACCCAAAACGAAGTATTGTCGTTGGTTCGTTAGTTAATAAATATTTATTTCGTAAAGGAATTTAAATAAGAAGAAATTAGATTCTAGAAGATGGAACTGACCGAGAATGTCTATAATAAATCGGCGAAAGGAAATCGTGTTATCCATAAGAGAAGAAATCGAGGAATCGTTTCTAATAGGCTATCGAGATTACAGATAAGTCTAACAAAATCTCACGAACGCGCGCCTTTCTAGTCAATTTATTGGCACCCAGATTATCACCAACAATCGAGTAAATGGCATCATTAAAGGCTCTTATGAGACTACACTATATAATAAACATTCTCTTTTAAGGTAAACACACGAATCTTTATTTCATCAAGAAAATGAAATTTTTTTTAGATTTAAAAAGAAATGGAAACATGTTTCTCACTTTCAACGTAACCTCGAACATTTAGGATTTAATATTTAATCATATGTGTGTGTTGTGTTGTTCGAAATATCTCAATCAAACGATCGGAAATTAATGCCAAATAAGTTAATAATCATTTACAATAATTAACAACTTTTCGTAGTTGTGAGTATTTATTTTATTTCTCCCTTTACCACGTACCTATAACTCGTGCATACAAATATCTGACAAGTTTTAACTCACAAATAATCTATACTCTCTTATTTGGATCATAACTCGACGGGATTGAGAGAATATTTTGTTGAAAACGAAGGGTGCGTGACAATTTTTTATGATTCCAAATTCCTGCTAGGAAAGAACGTTAATTTGCGGTTTGTATAATGCTAGAAAAGAAATTTACGAGGCAATATAACGCCGAGGACCGAACGAAATTAATCACACAGGTCCAACTTTTTGCACGTGTGACCCCTATAAAAATTTAGTTTCCTTTCCTACAATCGTTGTTGACACGTATTACACCCTTTAATTAAAATCTCTTCTTTTCATTTGTTTTTCTTTTTGTTTTTTCAACTAACATAAACTATATATATATATATACAAATGTTCCAAATGATTGGCATTGTTATATAATTATTGACACAACACTATTCATCGATATATTTAAGAGAAATCGCTTGTGAAATGTTAAAAAATGACTATAATTCTCACACGTTGACCGTTTAAATTTGTTATAGTCGAATCCAATAGGAAATCGAATTTCTAATCGCAAATTTCTTGTCGTTAATGGAGTTATATCAACGTTACTTGCCAATAAGAACTACGAAAGATCATCGGGGAATGAAGATACGCGTTAACTTATGTAAAGCTACTGATGAAATCAATGAAATTGAACGATCTGCTTGGAGTAGGAGGATTGGATGGAAAATCACATCGGTTATTCCGTGAACTATAATGGTTTCGCTCGTCCAATGTTACATGTGAGAAACTTGCTGGGAAAATCGTTCAAATGGAATCCATCGTATGGATAATCAACCTATCTCTGTTTAATGTATTATATTCCTTGTTTTCTCACGGATTCATTTAAACGATCGCAATCGATTTTGTCACGACAAAAATCCATTTAGTTTGTGCTAATAAAATTTGAAACAATCGGATTGATAATCGAATTAAAAAAAAAAAAAAGAAGAAGATAATTCATCGAACGAATTATGCATCCTATCAAGAATCAAGAAAACTTAATATTTTCCTTAAAAAATTCGTTTTTCAATGATCTCAATTTCAAGGCGTGAATACGCGAATGAAGTTTTATGAAAATAGTTAAAGTTTCGATTTGAATAAACATTAATAGCTAGGAAGGAAAGGTGACCAATTTGAATTTATTTGTGAAGAAACTAGTTGTTGGAGTCTTCGTGTCTTATTTTCTATGAAGGCACGAGGTCGGGGCTTCGAAGCGTTGGCACACATGTGCTTGCACCGTGACGCGAGATCATGCCAAAGCGATATCCCAAACACACATGCGAAGAAAAACGCATGCTTGCGTTTATGTGGCAACAATTTCGAGTGAAAAGATCGTCGGTATCATTCTTTAATCCTATTGATGTTTCGTTGAATTGAATAATTCATGTAATCATTCATTAATCATTTATTTCTTATTTATTAATTTATTTGTTAATTCATATTTAAATAATCCTCAATCAGTGTGTGTGTGTGTTTTTATAATCATTTTCTCATTCTAGGATTATTGAGAATATATAAAACGCAATGGAATTTAACACGTTCGGTCGATTAATGTAACACGGTAGATTTTAATGTGTGTGATAAAAAGAAAAATGAAAAATTAAATAAAAAAAGAAAAAATTGGATCACTCGCAATGTTGTGTATTACGGATAATTATCGATGCCTGTTAAACATATTATTAAAATTTGGAAATAAATATACCGGTTTTAGTGTGGAAACCTGACGATTATTAGAAAGAAATCAGTCACACCGGTTACATGGATACAAAAAAAAAGGATAGATAATTAAAAAAGGAGAAGTCTCTCACAGAAGTGTCTTTCTTTTTCCCATCGTTGAAAAAAATAAAAAAACACACACACAAAAATCGTGTCGGTAAAAGTAAGTCGGTTAAATGAGTTAGTTGTTTGTTTCGGTGATGTCGAGCAGAAACGCGTCTTTTAATTTAGCTTTTGAAACCATTCGAAAGTCGTTCGAACAAGGGGCGGGGGGGGGGAGGGGGAAACGTGAAAAAAAATTGCTTTCGCATTTTTACGAGCGTAATAACTTCGTATAGCATACATTATACGAAGTTATACGAGATGAAAGAAAATAAAAAAAAGAAAGAAATAATAAGGAATTGAAGGAAATCGCTTAGAAACTTACATGTAATTAATTTCTAATTTCTTTTCTTTTTTTTTTTCCTTTCTTTTTTTATTCCTTTTTTATACTTAACAAAGAGACTGTATCCTTTAAAAACAAATTGACGGACAATGATAAAATAATCTTGGAAAGTTTAATATATATGAGTTATTAGATATCAAGCTAACACACAAATACTTAACAAGAGTAATGCATTAATCGTAGTTGTGTACTTCCGTATTTAATGCAAAATAAAATGAAGCGTGTTTGTAAGTTCATTCCTTCGTAGATATGTTTAAGTAAATCTTTCCCATAGGAACCCATAGACCATTAATATTGTAGACCGTGTTAACCGTATTGCATCCGTCTCGAAACCACGTGTCGTCAGCTGTTACGTAACAAGAAGAAACTAGTATAATCTACAAACACACACACACACAGAGAAATTTTATTATTCTATCAAAGACAGTGGCTCGTCATTCCTTTTCTATCACGCACGTTACTCGACCACTTTCCATAGGTGTACATGAATATAAATAGAATCTGACATAAGTGCAACATAGTGACATTGCAACGAGTCGATGTACTCGAACCGAGAAAATTGATAATCTTACAGGCGTGATATTTCGATCGGATTCTCTCCTTCCTGATAATTCAATCATTTTAATCAAGCTAAAGGTTAAAATATAAATTCAAAAAGAAATGCTAATAGTTTTTATTTATAGTTAATGATCCTACCAAAGAAATGAAAAATTTGTATAAGTAATTATAATTTCAAAAAATGTTCATTAATTATGATTAGAAATTAATACAATAGGTTAACTTTAATGTATTATAAAAATCGATTAAAAATTATAACGAAATTTAATATAGGCTTTTCGATAAACATCCGAGTATCCAATTAAAAGAAATAAAAATTTAAACGAATGTTGAAATATATCAAAAGTAAAATCGAAATAGGTGCATATGCAATCTCAATTGTAATAATAATAATAATAATTGACAAAGTATTTCAATAAAAATCATCGTAGACAAATTCGTATACCGGAAATAGGTATTGCAAGGGATCATTTTCGTGACCTCGTCGACGCTCCTCGTTGCGGCAACTTTCATTCACCTTCGTTTAATACATCGTCAAGGAATTTAACGAAGGTCCTAGCCTTTCGACAACCTTGTACATCCGATCATGTTTTCTTTTTTTTTTTCTTCCCATTTTTCACTTCTCCCCCTTTTACTCTTTTGATCTCGTCACGATCGTTTAGGTTTCCTTTAATTACACCATTTTATGATGTTTCATAATTGCTTTAGTACATTATCCAATCAATCAATGATAGAACAAGAATAGACACTTAACTAGCTGCTACTTTTTATTTGTTTCTCCTTTTAAACAACTTCGACGGGGAGGAGTCATTTAGTTGTAAAAAAGAAAAAAAAAAGAAAGAAAGAAAAGCGTTCCAGTTGATGGCAATAAGCCAAATGTTACGAAAGGACCTAGGACGAATATACGAAGACAAAGAAGATGAGAAAGGAGGGTTGAAGATGTTAAGAAACGGTGGCGTCATTTATTATTAGAAAGTAGGATCTATCTAACAGGTGTAATACGCAATTTGTAAAGATTACATACTAACGTATGTAAATAAAAACAGACACGTACGTATTTGTCATTATTTATTACATAATCCGTATCATTGGTAAGTAAAAAAAAAAAACAACACCATGGGTAAATTATATTGCAAAGCTCGAATGTAAAATCGTTGTAAAACACGTTGTAACTATTTTTTCGATTACACTTTTATCACTTTCCTATCTATGTAACCGAAGTAATTAAAATACAAAATAGACAGGAGTATTATATTCATACTATTTTCTATGACACGTTAGGTAATAATATTGTACATAGAAGAGTTTCTATATTTTCTAAGGCTAATAAAATGTTTCTCTTCCGTTGGATACTTTTGATTAGAAAGAAGCTTCGTAAGAACATTCTTCGCTTGGGCGCGCGTACGTTTTACGAAAACCCTATATATATATACGCGTTTATATGCGTGCATATATATATATATATATATATATATATAACGCATTTTAATTGATTTTTTTTTATTCTTCCCCATCAACAACTTCATCCCTTCTACTCTTCCAGTTTGTTACGGTATGCAACTTCACGTGGAAAGTTTACATAAGAATTTATGTACTCACGTACTTGTACATTTGTTATTTCTTTAAGAATCATATCGAGTATTTATTTATCTATTATATTTATTTTACAATAAATTCATTTTTGGAAAAAATGTTGTCACCTTCACGGATAGTTATTTCGTAAAATGTGCGTAACCTTTATTTCGGATGGGAAATACTTTGCGACACTTCACGCGTACATTTACGAACATAACTACACGCGCGCGTTCGTTCGTTCGTTCGTTCAAGAAAGAGAAGGTTATTTTCGATGCTGTGCAAATCGTCACGCTCGGTTGGCAGAAAAAAAAAAAACCGGGCAAAAGGTGCCACGCCACATTTCTCTTATAACGGAACCGATAAAAGGGATAGCTTTAAGCGTTCAGATATCGTTGACTTGTTGCACAGATTTTCTCCTTTGTCTTTATGAACGCGAATTGTATCATAATTATTATCAAGAGAAGAAATCGTGATATAAACTTATTTAATTAAAAATAATAATTCAATGTGAACAAAACATGAAACACATGAAAAATATTCAATGAGATATTTATCGAGACCTTTTTTATATTTTTTTTCTTTCTTTCTTTCTCTGTCTAAACGTCAAAATGCAACAGAAAAAAAATATAATACTTCGTTTACATTACGAATATTAAAATAAGAAAATTAGTATACGTTTAATACCACGAAAATCTGGAATATTGTGTTAAAGTATAATTGTGTCTCAAATTGTATTAGAAAATACAACGAACAGATCCTTCGTAATATCCTTGACGAATCCTTTTGTTTTAGATATCATTGATTTTATAAAAAAACGTAATCCTTAATTTCCAGAATATCTTAGGAAATATTATACTTCGAGTTATATCTATTAATTTTCGAACTAATCTAACCCGAGAATTTTTTTTAATGAAATTCTCAATGGTTCAAATAATAATAGATCATCAACGATGAAATATATCATAGAAATCATAGATATGCAACGGTAATCGTGATTCAATTGGAATTATTTATAATGACTGGGTACGTAAGAGTCGATATTAATTAACCGATTCGTTGTAGATCTTTGTTCGTTAATGCTGATACGAGAAATACACTTTTAAAGGAACCCTAAAGCGTCGATGAAATCATGCTTTCAAACAAATGATTAATTATATCCCTCTGGGTATTATAATTTAACTATTGTTCATCTAGAATAATTTACAGTTATCGATGAATTGAATCAACGTAGTATAATATAATACGTGCAATTCTAGTTCACGTAAACTAACGTAAGAAAGAAAGAAAGAGAAAACAAAATGGAATAATTTTCATGCATCGATATAAAAATTCTACGTGTGATTTGTTGCTCATTCTAGCGGATAATTTCGACACGTAAGTACATCGTCTTTATTATCCTTTTACAGAGATGTATTTTTTTTTCCTTTTTTTTAATTTTTGCTTGCTAGATTACAGATAAACTTTGTCATTATTATATTCTTTCGTATAATAATAATAATAATCATATTTATAACACATTATTTTTGATAAATTTTCTTTTAAGCGAATTAAACGATTAATATGTTACACACATTAAAGAAGGTTTCATAAAAATATGAAGAGAGAAAGATAGAACACGCGTAAAATTCAAAACTAGTTATTGTAGATCATTACTAAGTTTTTGCGATAGTTGTTGCATAGTGATACGAGAAAACGTTTCATTAGTACGCGTTATGGTGTTTTTTTGTTTTGTTTTTTTTTTGTATACATCATTAGAGAAATCGGAATAACTAAATTCTGTGTATCAAAGTAAAGGAATGTAGGTGAAAGAAAGATTAATTTTAGGGTCAAATAAAACGTTCCACTCGTTACCGAAACTGCGTAAAAACATGCCTAGTAAAATGCATTATTTTTTTTTTGTTTCTTATAAAAAAATTGAACGTTTACATTTATAATAAAATTCGATCGATACTTTGCTTCCCCTTCCAATAATTAGTACAATTAGTTAGTTAATTATAATAATGACATATTAACGAGAGAACAAATATTTTTCTTGTGAAAGTAAAAATTACGAAATATGCATTAAGATTTATTATAAATAAATAGAAATTTTTGTCGGTCGACTTTGGACTCGTCGTTAAATAAACCATACGATTTAAGTCGAATACTCGGAAAATCGCATAAACTATCGACGCGTATTATACACGTCACGCGTGTAGAAATAAAATATTTTTTATTTCTCTTGTGTGGAAAGTTTCGTAGGAGTTTTTTGTTTTTTTCTTTAAGTATTATAAAAGAAAAAAATCAACTAGTTTATACAGTTTATCAGTCCCTTCGACACGTTCACGGCTATTAACGTTAAATAATAATTTTCCACGTTAAATAATATCATAAGTTGTTATTCATGTTCACTTCAGTAATTATAGAATTAACCGAAGCATATTATTATAATAAATAAAAATAAAAAACAAAAGTCGTTTAAACTAAAGTAAATCATTTTCGTAGGAAAAAAATTCGTATCAACGTGTAGAAAAAAAAAGAAAAGAATCACGTTATTGAAGAAATCGAAGATCAATTATTAATTAACGATAAATTGGATGTACAAATTAACTTAAAAATAAAAAATAAATTTTGATTAATAAAAAGTATGATAGGTCAATGGGAATAAATCTCGTCGAAGTTTGTCGTTCCCTGCGGCAAGGACGCTAAACTTGTCTCGCCAACGGCTAAGAATTTCAGTGAATGAACAAGATTTTTTTACCTATTTCCGTATCTCCTATTTCTCTTCCTTTAATCGTCTAGCCAGTTCTATCAAATTGACACGTCACCAACGTCATTACCAACGAGGAAACTTAACCACCTGTTTTTCTTGTCACCTTCCAATTGTATCAAACAATTTATCTCTGTGATGTTAGATAATAAATTTTTAACTACAATGGTATCTCGGCTACTCGACAAATCTACATAAAATGTTCGAGGTAATTTAATTAGATCAACTCGACCTTACTAATAAAACCTTCGCGAATATTTTATCAAGGAATTCATTTCTTTTTTCCAAACCGTTTTATTCTATTTCTTTTTCATTTCTTTTTCGTTCAATTCTATTATTTTTTAAACGATTTTCTTCTTTTTTTTTTTTTCTTCTTCATCGAGCGATCCGTTATACAAACAATTTTTTTGCTTTACGTATCGAAACGAAATAGGGGGGAGGATCCATTTATGAAATTAGTAGATATATATATATATATATATATGTTTGTCGAGAAAAACATCCATAGATTCTACGAATGATTTAATTTATCAAGCTATTCATTATTCTGAAACGTTTCTTTTTTTGCGTGTGCGTGTATGTGTCTGTTCGTGTGTGTTTATGTAAATCAAAGAAAAAAAACGCGACTCGTCGATCTATGCAATAACTTTGTTTCATCCAATCCATTCGTTATCTTAAAAATTTCGTTTTTTCTTTTATTTTTTTCATCTCTTATTCCAAACGATTAATTCCTGTTTGTGATTTTACTCTCTGTAAAAAAAAAGTAAAAAAAAAAAAAAAATCAAAAATTATAATAAGTAAAAAATGAAACTCAATCAAAAAACGTCGATTTGGGTAAAAGTTTCGTTTCGTTTAATTTCCAATCGATTAATAATCTTCTCGCAAAATCCTTTCACGTTTAATTCAAATATTTTGTTATAAAAATGAAGAAAAGAAAAAAACGATTAATCGACCGTTCGCGATTTTATTCTAAAAAAAAGAAAAAAAAAGAAAAAAAAAAGAAAAGAGACAACAGAAAATAATAAAGGAAATAAAACCACCACGTTGAGTATATATCGGACGAGCGAAAGTAAAAGAATTTTTTAACAAAAATAATACTTGAGCTTTCACTAAGAACGTTGAATTAACCAATCATTGTATATACTTAACCGTTACACTCTCGTTATCTTCTACAATCAAGAGAAGGTGAAAAAATGAAAAATAAATATAATGACGACCATCATTAGAGTAAAAAAAAGAAAAAAAGGAAACAAAATACAATGTGTCAATTTAACGGTGCGATTTTTATTAACGATTAGAATTAATTGAATCATTTGAATAATAATTTCAATCGATCGAACGAACTTTTTCTAAAACAATCGACATATTATTCGAGATGTGAAAAGATAATAATAATAAGGGTTCGAAATGATCCTAAACACGTGGCAGTTTCGTTTTATGATCGGTACCGTCCAAAATAATCTACGTAGAAAGTCGAAATGTAATATAAACGAAACACGATACACTTAGCTATATGCTTTTATACCCGACCATCAAGATGAATCGGGCTGCTGCACTCGCTTTTCTACACCAATACCGTAATACCTTGGTGCAAGCAAACTAACAGTGCATTTCGCCAACGTATCTTTCGCTTTTCCGAATAATACTTTCAGTTACTTTAAAACGTGTAACATCTAACACAGTATTATATTATTTACGATAATTTCAATTGAATAGAAGAAAATATTCGATCTCGCGTGAAATAATTTGTCCCCATCAATAAAATTCAATATTTAAATAAATAATAACAATTACCATAATTGATATTCTCTCTCAAAAAGAAAAACAACACTAATCTAATTTTAATATTCTAAATATGAATAATTTTACAACACTCTAGTTAGATTCACTTTTTGAAATGAGAGTATATAACTTATTATATTTCAGGAAACATATAAATACTTCCTGAAGTAAGTGTAAGTGGTATGTATATAGACGGTAAGCGGTATAACGTGGAACTGATTTACTTACGATTCTCATGGTGCCTTGCAGTCGACTTCTAACACCGTTTCAAGTAGAGAAGATAGAGAAGGTGATAGAAAGAAAGAGATAGTAAGTGACTGACTGACTGACTGACTGACTGACTGAGTGAGTGAGTGAGTAAGTAAGTAAGTAAGTAAAGTGAGAGAAAGAGAAAGAAACGTTCTCTTCTCAACTTTTCCGTTGTCGATCGAAAGCAACGGTAGGAGAACTACTAAGATCCGAGTCTCGTTAACTATACTCGATATTAACTAACCGGCACACACCAGCTGGCTCACCAGGTTAGGCTCACTCGATTGGTGGTGATACTTTTTCGATAATTCCAAGTGTTTTCGCGTTATTATTCGCGTTTATGGTTCACGTTTATTTTTCGCGTATTCGGAAGAAAATCAAAAAAATTATGGGGATTACAATTCTCTTCGGGGTGTCGATTAAATTGCTACTGTTGTCTGCGGTCGGATATAACCGGCACGGAGAGAAAAAAAAGAAGAAGAAGATGATGGGAAAGATTGGCAATAGGGGAGTATATTGTTTATAATAAAATGAAAAAAACAAGAAACCAAATGAAACACGAAGAGCACGCTTTGCGGGAGAAGAAAACGACGAATGTTAGTTTGTTCTGATCAACGTCAAAGAATTGCTGCTTTGCTAGCTTGTGCTCGCCTCCGTACCGTGTCCGACCGTTTGACGGAAAGTGGGGGCGATCCTGGGACTTATATGTCCGCTCTGGAGGCCAACCGGACCCACCTCCTCCATCCTTCTTCCCTACTAACTTTACCTACTGGACACCCGCTAAAGTCCTCTCCCCGATGCAAACTTCTCTGATGGTCAAGGTAAAACCTCACTCATTCGATACGATGAGATACGCTACTCGTCAATCCTTTTTCTTTTTTTTTTGATCGATTTCACAAAAATTCAAACAGATTGGCAAGGTTCTTTTCTTAAGGTCAGACAAGTTTCTTTCTTAAATCTCGTTCGATCTGACAGGTCAATGAACAAATATTTGGTTTGATTTTTATTTGGATTAAACTTTTCATTTTCTTTTTATAATCGTTTATGATTATTTTGTTATAATCCTTTTTTCAATGCTGAATATTTTTAGCTGAAATATTTTGTAAGGGATGGAATAGATTATTATTAGTAAGATTGTTTATGTTGATTGATATTAATAACCATAGATTTATAGTAATAAATTATATTTAATAATTAAAGTTTTTTTTAACATTACATTATTTTATATTTATATTGACAAACATGTATATGCATATTGGCAACTTTTAGCAAACGCATATATGACGCATAACATCCAAATATTTAATATTTATGATCGGATACCGGTATTATCGACAAAATTTGTCGTCATCCTTTAGTTGCGTCAGCAGGATCGACAAATTTTTTCATATAAAATGACTTCGAATTGACGATTATTATCAGAATTTTTTCAATGCACATTTTAAATGTCGATTTTATTATTCTTCTTTCGTATTTTATTTTTTTCTTTTCTTTTTCAGTGGTGGTCGTCTTTAATAATTGCCGATTAGATGATCCTTCCGCGATGGAATCCGGATCTATCGATGAACGCAATGACGTCAGGTTTGTTTAAATTACGATGAACGATCTCTGACAATATCAGAAACAGAAGCAAACGTAGAAAATAAAATTATCTTCGAGCATTTTACTGAAAATTGTCGTCGTCGTCGTCGTTGTCGTCTCAAACGATAAGACGAGATTTTCAAGAATAATAATAATAATAATAATAAAAGCGGGGTAATAAAAATACTTATATAATCATAGGGTAGACAATGATGCGCGTGATAGTTAGATTCGTCATGCTAAGATCAGCAAAAAACGGGATAATACGCGTCTAGTGTCCCACGAGACTTGTCTCGCACCGTTCGCATAGTCACGTTCGACAGAACTAGGAACACGAGGCGGCAATTATTGTAATGGAGAGTAATCGATCGAATAAATCTGATCGTAGTCAAAGTAAAAACGGAAACAAGTGTAATAAAATCTCTCGGATTTATCGATGGAATAGAAATTCCACGAGTTACGAAGGAATTTAATTCCCGTAGATCGGTGTCATCTGGCGTTACGACTATGATTAAAATAATAGAGTGATTAATTGTCTGGACGCATCGCATAACGTTGCTCCATTAAAGAAAAATCCATTATTTTGTTATTTTTCCTTTTGTTTGCATAAGTATTTTGCAGTAATACCCGAGTCATAAGTCACGTACGCACACGTAACTCACTATACGAGATTACTGTAACTTAAATAACGGGAAATAACTTACGTTGTATGTTTTTATTGGAAGAATTAATTTTCTGATTTTATTGTTTCTTTGTATTTTCCTCTTAGTACTGTACCACCAACCCAACCCCACCGATCTTTCCGTTAAATAAAAGAAGAATATGAACGAAATATTTTATGCGTTTATTTATTAGAAAAATAATATCGTTAGTCAAATTGACGTGGATTCGAGTAACTTTAACATCGGTGGTTTCTTGACCTTCGTTAGGAATGCAATTTATAACCTTAACACGTTAATTAGTGTTCTTTCAGCCGCGACATCGTGCAAGGAAAAATAGAACCGATGCTGTTTCCAATATCATTGTCGCCATACCGATTTGGTGGAAGGTTGAATGACGTATACAACTGACGTTCAACATTTATCGCTTATAAATTATTTCTAATTATCTTCGACGCCAAATCTGAGATATCTAACACCTATCGATACCATGTCGTAGAACGAATTTTCGAAAAAAAAAAAAAAAGAAAAACGCGAACAATCGTACGCTTTAAAATAATCCGTGTAATTTCATTATTGCAATTTAAATAATAGTAGGATAATTTCAAGGAGAGGAAATACAAATGGAATTATTTCATTTTTACGCATCGACAGACAATAAAAGAAGAAGAAGAAGAAAAAACCATTGAAGTTTTGTATTATAGAAAATGACAGAATTAAAACGTTAGACGACAAAGAAAAGTCTCGTAACTTGAAATTGCAAGATCAAGATTCAAGGTTACGTAAAGATTCTAACGAGTGTACAGAAAAAAAAAAAAAACTCAATAGCACCGTTGTCGCGATCGTTAAAATGTTTTTCTTCGGCCGGTCTCGGGCCATCGATCTCTCGATGAGGCGTTCACAGTATGGCGAAATTCAATAATAATATTATTATGGGAAATCGAAAGAGAGATCGAAAAGAATATCGAACGTATTATCGTCGAAATCGATTACGAGGTGTAAGAATAAACAAAACAAAATAATAAAATAAAATAATCACAACACATGAAAATTGTGAATATCGTTGAAGAAAAACAAAATTATTGTTTAATCGAATATAAAAATATTCTCGTCTACGAACACAATTTTTAACCTTCGATCGATTATCGATCGTTTCCTACTTATTACTCGAACCTCGGATTAGTTCGATTCATAAATAAAAGGGTTAGTTAAAATGAGAATATAAGATAAATGAAAAAAAAAGAAAAGGATAAACGGAAGGAACGTCGTATAATTCAAGGACATGCCAATTAAAAACGGTGCCGAGTCGTCGTCGTAAAATTGGAGAACAATTAATCGAGCTATGTTAAGTGTTTCTCTCTTATGAAAGTCTAAAGAGAGACCTTTATCGAGATGTTGTTAACGATGATGACGAGATCAAGCTTGGTTACTGCTTATGTGTGTCGTTAAAATTATTATACTCGAATAAGTTAATAAAAATGTACAAACTTATATTTACAATTTTATTTATTATTATGAATATTATATTTTATTATATATTATACAAGAGTGTCCCAAATAACTCTAGTCACAATTTAACAAGTACTTGCGATAATCTGACAAAAAAAATACTTCAAACCAAAGTTTTGATCTGTTTTTAATTGATTATACATGGCAATAAAAAAATGATCGAAAAAAATTTATTTATTATTTGCCAAAATTTTTCAAAGAAATGGCAAAGTAGGAACAATTTGCAGCACCGCATTCTTTGCCATTTTATGAACCTTTTTAGATTGATTTATAACTCGAAAAGGTATTCTACGCGTAGGCAAAAGAGTGTACTTTAATTTAATATAAAAATCATTAAAATCAGCTTGCTATAAGCATAAAAAATTGTTTTCGAACTTTTTTTTATTGCTATGTATAGTCAATCAAAACAGATCAAGTTTTGTTTAAAGTAGTTTCTTGTTCAGGTTATCGCAAGTACATGAAAAATCGTGACTAGAGTTATGTGGGGACACCCTATATATATATATATACATATATATTAATAATTTTTTTATTAATATACATATAAATTAATAAATTGGTAAAAATTTGTGTTGACCCAATTCACTGCCATAATTATCGACGCATATTGCATATATATTATATATAAAATAAATTTATAAATATTTATTAATGCATAATTATAATTATCGACGCATGTTTTATATATATATATATAGAGAACATATAAAATAAATTTATATTAATTTTTTTTGGTAAAGTCCACCGCTGCAATTACCGATGCATATTTCATGCATAATATACATTTATATATAATTACTTACTTACGCATATTGCATAAAATGTACGGTAGTATTAATCAACCCTCTGTCTCTCTCTCTCTTACTATTTATCTATTTCTTTCTTAGTATTTAACTTAATCAACCATTTGTTTCCCTAATCCCTATTCTAATTAATTCTGATCATTTTCCATTTCAAATAGGTATTGAGTACGGATAAATGTTGTCTTCTCTCTCTCTCTCTCTCTCTTTCTTTCGTACTATCTCTATCTTATTCTCTTTACGAGATTGGACTGAATTATTCGAATTGGTCGATCGTTGGACGTACAGAAAATCGATGTAAATTAATTGCTTAGCGTACGAGAGGTTATCGGATAGGAAGACAAGTAAGATCACGTGTTCCGATTTGCTTATTCGCGATTTAGGAACGCGTTCCGCATAATTAGCCATTCGTGACTTAGCTTGTTAGAACGTCACGTGAACGATAATCCGTGGTAAATTTGTTTGGCGAAACTTTAGTTCGCAAGTTATTGGCGACGAAAAGGCCAAACTTTTTGCTAATGATCAGATGAGAAACTAGGAAAGAGAAAGAAATAGATAGATAGATAGAGAGAGAGAGAAAACTTAAGTAAGAAAATAAAATATCATTGATAAAGTGCTAATGAAGGCTAACTGGTGCGGTAACGTAATGAAATCGATATTATTCCAGAATTAATTGATCTTGAATCATTTCCATGATTAAATGGAAATATATAACGCGACTATCATACTTCTCGGAAGGATACGAAAACCTTTCGAGAACCGGATACGTAAGCATAACAAACTCTAGGAATTAATATCTTTAGCGTTATGCATACGAATAAATGAATATTTTTATCTGTTTCTTTTTTTTCTTCTTTCCTTTTCCTCAAATAAAAAACTCTAAGGTCGTATCAGTTCATCCGGAAATATATCTTTTTATATTATAACACAATTTTATATATATATATATAATTATTATATTATACGATTATTATTTTAAATATAGAAAAAAGAAATAGAATTTAAAAATAAGGAGGGGTAAGTTTAACGAATACGTATTTGAGAAAAATGAAATTCTAAGTGTCCCTGGATTCACATAAGTTTACCAAAGGGAACAACAGAGAAAAAAAAGATGATATTGGAATAACGACTAATAACGAGCGGACCGAGTTTGAAGGTGACGTCTTAACCTCATAAAAGGTGCATTCATATTACTAATTACGCCTTCGGAGGATAACTCCGCCTTCCATAATAAAACAG